TAAAAAAGAAAAGAAAAGAAAAAGAAAAAGAGTACATGAAGTTATTAGAAAAAAGTGATGGGGCGATATGGGAGGAGTTAGAGGGGAGGAAGTGGGCATGGATTTGATTAAAATATCTTGTATACTTATATGCCTGTATGAAGTTCTCAATAAATTATTTTTTAAAAAAAGAAAGAAAGAAGAACAAGCGAGACAGAAAGAAATACAAAACGTGCCCTTTGGAGAGAAAAAGAGCATGAGGAATCTTGATGTTACAGGCAAGGCCTGTATTTAGAAAGAAGCTTTAATTGTTAAAGGATGGATTTGATTAAAATATCTTGTATACTTATATGCCTGTATGAAGTTCTCAATAAATTATTTTTTAAAAAAAGAAAGAAAGAAGAACAAGCGAGACAGAAAGAAATACAAAACGTGCCCTTTGGAGAGAAAAAGAGCATGAGGAATCTTGATGTTACAGGCAAGGCCTGTATTTAGAAAGAAGCTTTAATTGTTAAAGGGATCAGCACTAGTAAGTAAGAGGCCCCTCCTCTGCAGCAGAGCAATAAGACGACTATGTGGAGGGCAAAGCCCAGCTACGTGTCCAACTCATGAAAAGAAAAAGCCTAAGGAGTTCTCTGTTCCTGGAAAATAACCGCATACAGAACCTGCTGCTACTGCGATCCAAGAGGCCAAGGACCCACTCCAAGCTGTCAATCAAACTTTACAGTGTCGTCCGTGTGGTACTGGCTTTGAAAGCATGAAAGCTGCTAGAGTGAGGGGTTTGTGATTCTTCCTCCACGGCTTCAGAGAACTGCTAAGGGCAGGCAACACGTGACAAAGGGCATCCCTGCATGAAGCCCCAAGAGGTCACGGCATGAAGCTGTGAAGGTGATGCCTGGCTTACAGCAGAGACCCGAAGATGTTGAAGATAGCAGAGCTGTGAGACGTCTGCCAAGGACAGCTTCCTACAGGGAACAGAACCAGCTCAAGAGAGGGAAAGGTGTATGTGGCAGGCAGCAAAGCTGGAGAGGCAGAGCCATCTAAACCTTTTGAAACTAAAGTTCCAGACATCTGACATGGAGATACAGGATCTGGCATTTTCCCTGCTGGGAACTGGTCTTGTTTTGGTCCAATATTTCTTCAACATGCTCCTATTCTTCCCGTTTGCAATGGAAATGTATATTCTGTGCCACTGTGTGCTCAAAACATGCAATCTGTTTTTATGCCTGAGATATTGCCTTCAGTCTCAGAAGAGACTTCAGATGTTTGAAGTGTTGAAAATGTTAAAGACTATGGGGACCTTTAAAAAAAAAAAAAAAAAACGGCTACATAGGAAAAATGCGCAGCCCAAGGCAGGCAGAGATCACGGCCTGTTTTCCAGCCACATGCTCCAGTCTTGAATACTGTTCACTCTGCTCTCACCGAAGGGGGCATCCCAAGGTGACATTGACCACAGCTCCCCCATCTGTCTAGATATGAGTCTGCTTCTGCTCAGGATCCCCAACCAGATCTCATGGGATCTGGGGTCCTACCCACTCTCAGCCCCTCCATTAGGCATGCTGAGGGTCACCACCAGCAATGGCAGCGCCCCAGCCTAGGGGCTTGAGGAGTTAGTTGCACCCCTGGCTCCGAGTTTCCCCTGAAGCACAGCAGTGAGCAGAGGAATCCAGGTCCCCACTAGAGGGCGTCCAGTCCAAACTGAGCACACAGGAGGTGGAAGGGGACCAGGTCAGCACCAGAACTGCAAAAGCCACTGTGGGATTGCCATCTTAAGTTCAGACACTTGTAAACTAGTTACGCATCAATACAAAACCTGATCAAATGCAGTAATACGCAGAATTCTCACCTGAAGAAACCGTTTTCATCTTAGAGGTTCATCAATTCCTAGAAGGCAGTTTGAACCAGCCTAGGTGTAAAGGCTCTTTCTAGATCTAGCAATGGATGTGCTTAGCCTATGGAGATGTCCTGATGAGTGGTGTCTGTTTTCTCACTGTAAGAGTGAGGAGAGCACCCCAACCCTGGGGTGAAGAATGCACAGAGCTCCTGGTTCCTTTGGAGGGAGCTGGGGGTCCCAGCCGTATGCTCCCAAGAGCCCTCTTGAACCCACCCACACAAGCCACAAGCCCTGTCATGTCATTTGGAAGCCAGATACCCTTGGCTCCACAGACCCTGAGGAGAAGCACATCAGAACTTCAAGGAAAATGTAGGCTGTTTCCTAGGCCTGGAGTGCCACAGCCACAGCGAAGACAACGCTAAGGGCTCTCGTGGCTGGGGTCCTGCTGCAAAGGAGAGCATAAGCCTGCATCTTCCACTCCGGCCCTTTCTTGGCAATGCAAGAAATGCAAATCCCCTGTCAATGTTCCCTTCCTACCTGAAGGACAGGATGTGTGACTCTCACTGATGGACTTCACCAGGCGGAGGTCACCACTCATGGCTACAAGAGGTTCTGCCACAGGCTCTGGCTCTGGCTCAGGCGCTGGCACCTCCTGCCGTGAGGGCTGGCTCTGCCTCTGGCTGTGGTTGCGCAGGACACGGTGGGCTGTCTCCATGACCACCTCAGAGTTGAGGCTCTCGGCTGCCATAGCCAGGAGCTCGTCGTCATCTTCACCAGCATCCCAGGCATCACTGGTGTTGCTCTCAAACTCCTGGAAGGTGCTGACCTTCTTTGTCTTCACGGGGGTGGTCGGCACCTTGGGTGTGGACCTGAGTAAGCTGCAGAGCAAGGGCAACTTTATTATGCATGCTCAGCCAAAGAAGCCTCAAGGAGGACCCTTTAGTCTGGATGAAAGGCAGACACAATGTACAGACATCAAAATAAGACGGTACAACACAGCACTGCGTGACGGGGAGGACGTGCAAGGGAGAGCCACCAAGCAGCCTCCGCCACCCTGTGAGAAGCTCAGAGAAACAGAGCATCCAGCGCATTCTCACATTCCTGCATCTCAGCCAACATCTACAGCAGCAGCTGGGGGAACGGGCCAAGAGGGACCATGCAGAGAACAAGGCCTTCGGTACGCACACATGGAGGCGGTATCATTCAAAGGAGATCCCCCCGAAACACCACTACACACACCATCAGTCCCAGTGTGTGTCGGGAAACCTGGCAGACAGATGCAGTCCTGCACAGCCACACCAGCACTGTGCCAAGTCCCACACTGTCCCCTCCCATCTGCTCTGGTGGAGGAGCCGGGACCAGGGCAGTGAGTGCAGGACAGAGGAAGGGGGTCAGAGGAGACACCAAGGACGGCCTGGAGCCACCTTGCCCTCAAGCCAGGAGGTGCCAGCCAGCTCTCTGCTCCAAAGGACACTATCACCTGCGGCCACCTCACAGGATGAGCTATACAAAGACAACAGTCTCACATGAAGCAACCACCAGAGCCGTCTGCTGACTAAGAGGCCACTCCCTCTCCCTCAGGAACTCCAGGACCCTGGGAGGAAGCAGGATACCACTGCCATGAGACCAAGAAACACTTACGTGCCATGTAATAGTGGATCAAAAGGCGGGTGCTGGGCTCCATATACATGCTGGATACTGGAAAATGGAAAGAGAACACAAAATTAGCTTTTCTTCAGCTCTGCCAAGAGTTCATTACTAAGTCAGAAGAGTCAGCCCCTAAACCCAGGAGAAGCTGAGTTCATTAGCTTCCACATACCCGCCAGGGTCCAAGGGCCAATCGAGGGATGGGAGGTATACCACACAAGCCGACACCCCACAAACAGCACAGCATCCAGGCTCTTCCCAATAGCAGGCCCAGCACAGGGCTGCAGTTCTCCAGGATCCTCCCTGCAGGAGCCTCAGGCACCCACTGCACGGCCATGAGCCATTTGGGGAACACTGGTCACAGTGGTGGTTCACAGACAAGACTAGACCTCAGAAAGAAATGCCTCCTGGGAAGGCCTTCGGGGTCACACTAACCAAAGACTGCAGAATTCCCCAAAGATGAACAGAACTTCTGTGAAGATGAGAGAGAGAGAGAGAGAGAGAGAGAGAGAGAGCGGAGAACTTTTGGAAAATAAATGGAAATTAACAGCCCATATGGTTGACACTGCTGGGGAGCTGAGCCCTCATCCTTGGTTAGGATCAGCAGGGCAGGCCACAGAGAAAGACATAGAGGCTGTACATTTTCTAACAAAACCCAATGGGCTCAGCGAGACTACTAGCCTCAGATTCCCCCAGTCAGGTGTGTCCCAGGACAAAATGAGGTAAGGTCAGGTACCTTGGTCACCTCTCAGCGTGAGAAGCGATCATGAGACACAAGCCATGTCTGAAGAAGAGTGGGCCAGTGAAGGCTCAGGTGTGTGTGGGCCCATGCACCATGTCACAAGTGCATGTGCACACACACAAATGTAATAAAATATTTTCAATTAAATCCTGGGGCTGAAGAGATGGCTCAGCTGTTAAAAGTGTTTGCAGTTCTTGAAGACAACACCCAGGTTTGGTTCCCAGCACCTACATCAGGCCTGCGAGGATGTCTGCATTCATGTACACACACACACACACACACACACACACACACACACACACACACACACACACACACACACACACACTTTAGAATATTTTTTTAATATTTTATTTATTATTTTTATTTTATGTGCATGAGTGTATTGCCAGCATGTAGGTAAGTGCACCCATGTTATGCAATGCCCGCAGAGGACAGAAGGGGCCATCAGATCCGCTGCAACTGGAGTTATGGACAGTTGTTAGCTGCCATGTGGGTGGATTCAAACCTGGGTCTTCTGCAAGAACAGTCAGTATTCTTAACCTCCAAGCCATCTCTCCAGCCCCCAGAATATTTTTTTTTTTTTTTGTCTTTTTGAGACAGGGTCTCCCTGTCGCCCCAGCTGGCCTGGAACTCACTATGTAGACCAGGCTGGTCTTGAACTCAGAGATTCACCTGCCTCTGCCTCTGCTTCCCAAGTGCTGGGACCAAAGACATGCACCACCACACCCGGTCAAAAATAGTTTTTTTTTTTAAACAGATCATTCTTTAAAATTAAATCCTATCTTGACTGAAATAGGCTGGGAAATACTTCCTCCAAATCATTACTTCCTTCTTCAGTTTACTTAAATCACTCATCTTTAGATGTACTGCTTGGCACAAAACAGACGCAGCATCTGTAAATTTAAAAGTCTAACACGAGGTGAAGAGTCGGACCTGGCTACACCTTTCTCTGACACTCCTAGTAAATCTTAATTATTTCAACATTAAGTGTTTCTAAACACCACAGGAATAGAGTGAGCCCAGTTACCTCATCTCTGGCCTGTGGACCTCCCTGGACAATATCACTTCTAATTTCATACTGTGCCACCATATGGCTACGACATAATGAGTTTACCTAAGGTTGACTGAAACACTGAACCAATTTACAACTGTTTGTGGTCACAAAGACAGCAATAACACCTCAGGAGACGAACCCTACACACAACTTGATAGCCTCCCGAGGATAAAATCTTGCAAGAGGAATGTCTGGGGCACCAGGGTGCACTTGAGGTTTGGTCACACTGCCAGGACAGGAAGTGGCTCCTTTTCCACCTGCAGGGCCTGGCAGTTGGCCAGGCACTGCTACCTGGACAGCAGGAACGTGGTCTCTGCACTGGCGGTGCACCTTGATTACTGCTCATCTGGACCTCTTCGCAAGCTAGTCAGACCCTGTGTCCATGTGCTAACAGGCGTTCACCGTCTTCCTCATTTGCAAAACAAGAATTCTTTCTTGGACATCCAGGCAGTCTAGCTGGGAAAACCACAGGTCCAGCAAAGCTGCCCCGTCTCTGAACCTGTGGGCATGCCACCTCACAGGTAGAGGGGGCTGTACAATGTGACTGAAACACCAATCGTGAGATGGAGATTCTCCTGGTTACCCAAGGGGACTCATTCTAGCCACGTACTTAAAAGCAGGTTAGTGTCCCCCAGCCATGTTCAAAGGGATTCAAGGGAGACATGATAGTGACAGAGGTTAGAAAGGTATCAGTTTTGAAGATGGAGAGGAGACAGTGCGCCAAGGAAGGCCAGTGGTGGAAATGGCTCTCCTTGAGCTTGGCATCAGCCCAAGGAGCCAATGAAAGACCTGTGAGCTGCAGAGTGCAGAACACGTGTGTTGCTGTGATTCAGTCAATGTGTTTCTCAGAGATCTGCAAGACAACTAACCACAGGGACGGGGACACGTACGCACACCACACAAACACAGAGATGCATCATACAGGCACACACAAACACACATGAACACTTCACAGGCACACACGCATATGCATATGCACACACACACACACACACACACACATACACACACACACTACGTTTCTAGCCTTGGGGGTCAGGTAGCTGCTCTGATCCTCTGTGGCTCCACTGTGTGACTGTGTTGGGGAGGCCGCCCCTCTGGACTGCGCAAACCAACTCTGAGCTTGCTCATACTTCTCTTTCATACATTGATACTTTTATTTCACTGTATAGTGTTTAGTAGGATTTTTCTTTCAATCAATTGACCCAATGTTTAAATGCCCTCGCCTCCTCATGGCTTAGGAACAGCTCTGATACAGACTAAAATATGGCGGTATTCTGTCCTCTGCACAGTCCTACGCCTCCAGGAAAATATTTACTTATACCAAATGTTTGTTTTATATGCCAAACTTTTTGGTGAAACTTAACATCTGTTGGATATCAACTCTCAAGGGAAGCAAAAAGAACCCTATAGTCCCAACTATTAAGGGCCCTACAGTGTGTGTTATAATTAAAGCAAAAAATAAACTGGCATTGTAATGCTCTGTGAGAGTTCCTATAGAAACACGGCACAGGAGCACATTAAATCCAGTCTTGGTTTTCCTTTGAGAAAGAATTATACCTAGACCTCAGAAAAGAGGAGCAGGCAGACAATTCTGGACAGATACGGAACTAAAGGGATGCTCAGTGGTTAAAGTATTGCTACACAAGGAAGAGGGCCAAGGTCTGGATGTCCTGAACCACATAAATGCCAGTGGGCAAGGCAGCTAGCCTGTCACGCCAGTCTCAGGAGGTGAAACAAGAAACCTGGAGCAAGCTGGCCAGCCAGCAACGCAGCTAGGCAAGCACTGGGCCTGACTGAGAGACCCTGCCTCAATGAATAAGGCAGAGCAACCTAGGAAGACCCCACTTTAACTGGGTAGATGCTGGCATGTCACTGAAAATGAATGCATGTTCTAACTAAACCTCAGTGAAGATGCTAAGGAGTCTACCTGGCTTTCCAGGTTCCCTCTGTTTGAACCCAGAGAATATTCTGCGAGGAAACCCAAACCAGTCACAGCCGACCCACCACAGCTGACGGCATCAGCTGTGGTCCCAGCTGACAGCCTGTATCTGCCTCTAGCCATGCCAGGACAGGAAAGTAACCACCTTCCTATTCCAGCCTCTAAGTCCTCCCATTGACACCAGGGCTTCATAGAACAGGAACCAAGGGCTCCCACTGAGCACTGCCTGGATTCTGACCTACCATGATGAGACTCAAATGTGAGTTGTGTATCAATGGAAAGAAAAAGGCATATAACATACTCAGATGGCACACAACCTGTCATGTCCTTTTCCAGAAACTTGATGGATGGATCAACTGCAGGGCTCCAGGTTGATGAATCAAAAGGCCCAGGCTTCAACCCCAGTGCCAACACTTACTGGCTGGCCAAGTTTCCCCCAGGCTAACGCTCTGGGCGTTAGCCTCCTTACCCTGAGAAGGCAGGGAGAGAATACAAATACACTGGGCTGGAGAGACGGCTCACTGGTTAAGGGAGCTTGCTGCTCCTGCAGAAGACCCAAGTTCAGTTCCCAGCACCCACATCAGGTGGCCCCCAACCTCCCGTTAACTCCAGCTTCAGGGGATCCAACACCCTCTTCTGACCTCTGTGGGGACCTGCACTCATACGCACATACACATAATTTAAAATTAAATATAAATTCTAGGTTTTTTTACATACTTTATCTTTTATTATTTATTTATTTAGGCCTTTTTGAGACAGGGTGTCCCTGTAGCCCCAGCTGTCCTGGAACTCACTATGTAGACCAGGCTGGCCTTGAACTCACAGAGATCTGCCTGCCTCTGCCTCCCAAGTGCTGGGATTAAAGGCATGCACCACCATGCCCGGCTTATTGATTATTTTTATTTTATGTGTATGAATGCCATTGCCTGCATGTATGTGAGTGCACCCATGTTGTGCAATGCCACGGAGGTCAGAAGAGGGCTTCGGATTCCCCTGGAACTGGGGTTAAGGACGGTTCACAGCTGCCATGTGGGTGCTAGGAATCGAACCCGGGTCCTCTGCAAGAGCAGTCAGTGCTCTTAACTGCTGAGCCATCTCTCCAGCCCCAAATTCTAGTTTTTTTAAAAAAAAGAGTTTGCATGGGGCACAGATCTAGCTGGGTGGTGGAGTGTGCTTTGCCTGTGTGAGGTCCTGGATTTGACCTCCAGCATCTAAAAAAAATAAAGAAAGGCACATGCATGCCACGAGGCAGCGTGCACACCGAAAGTGATCCACAAACAGCACTATCACCACTGCTAACCAGCTTCACC